GAGAGCGGGGGGGGGGGGGGGGGGGGGGGGAGAGGAAATCCATTAAGTCCCATGAATTTCAAGGCAAAACATACAATGGCGCATATTTTAATTCTCACAGCTTTTCCTTTGGATGCCTCAGTATTTAGTTACCATGGTGACCCTTGGTGGAATACTACACAACTTTATAGGAAAGTGGTATATAGTGCAACAAACATTTAGCCAACAAGAATGGTAATGGAGATTACAGCCAAGTAGCTCAAAAAGCATTATGAACTACGTGAATGTAAGACAGGTAGCACTTTCTAAGCTTTTTTACTTAGGACCATGTAAATAGGCATTTAACTGCCATGTGCTTACACAGATAATTTACAACTTTAAACTACAGCAAGATAAATTTTCTTACTCTGAGCACAAAATAAATTATTTCCTAAAGTAAGAGTGACAGACAGGAACATTTTAGAAAGTAAATTTAACCATATATGCACCTCTAGCTAAGCCAGATGAAACTGCTCAGACATGCTGATCATCCTAAGAACATGAATATTTACGGTCACAAATCTGGTCACAGCCCATTTTTTATACTTCTGTAATATTATAAACACAGGTATTCTACTGTGGCATAGTCAATAAACAGCGATATAACAACATCCAGACACTTCGGTGAAACATTGCTGCAGCTGGTTCTGGTAACAGCTTAAAATTCCACTTTCAATATACTGATGGGTTGAAAACCAAACACAGAGAAGTTCAGACTGCTGAAAATAGATGTCAAAAGAATGTAAATAAAGGACAGGCTATATATAATAAAGCCCTATGAAACTAATATGTAAAAAAAGGTCTTCAAAAATAAGCAAAAATCCCCAACCAAACCAAATACATCAGTGAGAAGGTATGAAAAAGAAAGTTCTTTAGCTTTACTGCCTGAAAACAAATGGTAAGTGTCATTTGTATTTTATGGTGTGTAACATACTGGAGTTCCTTATACATTTTGTAAGAGATCAGTTCAAAAGAAATTCAGTCAGAAAGCAAAAGCTTGCACAGCAATGTTTTGAAACAGGATACCCACTAAAACAGACTTAGGAAAGGGGAGGGGGGGAATAAAAAGAGAAGGGAACTTCCCTGAGGCTAAATATTATGAAATATGTTACAAAGTAACTGCTCAAATGCTGTCAAGGCAAGAAAAGCAAGCTACAAATACTATACACTTTTTAGGAGAGTCCCTAGAAGACATTCCAAACCATTATGCAGAGAGGTTTTCTTCTGTATGCTAAGAGTAAAGAAAAAGACCTGGAAAAACTGTCATTTTTTTGAAGCACAAAAATATGGACAATGATTATTGCAAAAAGAAGGCATGCCCTGGAAAAAAAAAAAAAAAAAAAAAACCAAAACAAAAACAAAACCCAAAACTTTCCTGGGGCGGGGAGAGGGAAGAAGATGATGCATTGTTATACATAAAACACCCTGATTACCTGTTCCCTGTCGAATCCTGGGAAATCTGTAAGTTTGGAATAATAGAAGAAACACCATATTCATCCTGATACTTCTTACACGTTTTATAATGCTGTCTCATCCACGAAAATCTAACCTGTAAATGAAATGCCAAATTATTGAAATTATACTAAACAATCCAGGGATAGAAGGAAGAGATAATTCTGCCAACAGAAAGCAGTGCATGCAGGAATAATATAGGCATCATATGCAGCAGAAACCAGAACTTGTGTCTCCCCTTTCAGAATGAACACTTTCTTCCCCGACAAGAGATCTTCGATCGTTTTTCCATAGAGCCTCTGTCACTCTGTGAGACTGGAGAACATTCCTGCTCCCCAAACCCCCAACATCCTGGCATCTGAGAGCTCTCTCAGGGGTGAAAGATGCAAGTAAACTCCATTTAACCAAAACAAAGTCACAGGAACTACACCTCCCATATCCAGGATCAGTAACTGATGAGCTATGACAGAGACGGGCCATGAGGACGGGATGAGCACCACTGCTCCTTCAGTCTTCTCTGGCCTGCCGTTACCTTGTGCAGAGCAAAATCTTTTTGCATTAGGTGTGTTCTGAGAATACGTAACTTTTCTCTTTGGGGGTGGAGGCAGGGAAGAGGTGAAGGAACACCAACTTAAGGCTGCCTATCCATCTTAAATGCAAGCTAAGACGATTGAGTTGCTCTAGATTTATCAGAAGACAGCTGTGCTGGACATGCCCTAAATCAGAATTTCAGGTCCAACAGCACTGTCAGAAAGTGCTCACAGGTTTAGAGGCTGAACAAGAACACATCTCACATGCCTGTGCCTAAATTCCATTAAAGTTCTTCTGGGGATCCATTTTGGTTCTTCCTTCCAGTTTACCAACTTGCTATTCTCTCTTTCTCTCAGCTTTTCATCCTAATGAATCACGTGGAACAAAGCAAGCAGCTCAGCTTTCCACTAGTGCTAATCTTCACATTGGCAGAACTAAGTCCCAGGTGAAATGAAACAAACATGAAGACGACATGGATTTGATGCAATCTGATGTAAACAAAATGTGTGGCTGGAATCCTGCATTCATTTATACCAGAAGAGAGATTACTCTTGACTTCAGTGGGGGTCAAGATTTCACCCAATGTTCTGAAAATAAGGACCCCTATACAAAGGGAATGAAGGGAACGTAAACAGACTGATGGGGTGTGGGGGGAAATGACATATGATTGTATGTACACTGAGAATAATCAACCCGTATTTTGGGGGTTTATATGAAATTTTACAGTAGCTCTAAGCACTTTCATTTCCATAGTGAAAGTTTCTGAGGTTTTCCATATATCTGCAACTTTCATTTTCAGTTGTCTAACTTTTCTTTTGCCAGTTTTATAGCTATATCCAGTTTCTGCATTGTTTTAGGGAAGAACTGGCACTCCACTTAAAAAGTCCTTATAGACAATACAAGATCCTCTTTCAGTTTACACATTAGGCATCCCCAGCAGGCACTGCATGCCTAGTATATGCAGATGCCATACCAAGCTAAGTTCAAACTGCTACAGTCTCTTTAGCTCCAAGACAAGAATGACACACAGTAAAAGTGTGTGTGGTCAAAAACAAGAAAAATTTATCCAGCTTCTTGTAAAGTTTTACTCTACCTGCTTCTCACAGCATCTACAGCCCCCAGAAGCTTTCTTCATACTGTTTTCAACATCTAGAGCCCTTTTGGGATATGTTCTTTCTTTTTTAGTCACGCTCCCCCGGCAGAGAGGACAATGCGTTCCACTTTCTCTGATAGCTGTCAAGAAGCACTTCCTGCAAAACCTAAATTAAAAAGTTACCACAAACACAGGTTAGCAAAGTGAAGAGAGTAAGATGCTTTGTCCTTGAAGAGAGCTGGGTGATTATTGGGAAAAAGAAGATATATATCGGAGTAATAGTCTACTGAATACAAATCTTTATAAATAGAAGCAAAATGACATAATGGTGCTTACAGAGAAGTATACGGAAATTAAGGGAGCTTGGCAATGCACTTTAGGTAAAGATCTTACTATTTACTGACTAGTTTTCCCGAACTGTACACCAGATTGATCATTAATGAGATATTAAATGGTGCCGCAGGCACGTGACATTGGAAAATCTCATCAGGGTAATTCCTGTTTATTGTCCTTAAGCGGAGCCAAGAACACTGCAAAGCTTCATTTAGCACGCGTTTCCAAAGATCTTAGTTCATCAGCTTTTGCAGCTCGCTCTCTGTCTTTCCTCGTGCACCAGCCGCCAAAGCTATTCTGCTTTTCTGCAAAGTAGTACTTCGTAATTACGCGTTCCTCCGAAAAAAACGCAGAACGGACGAACTGCAAAGAGAGAACAGCTAGGCTATGGTCCTTGCTCGAAAACGAACAGGAAACTCTGAAGTTAAAAAACGCGGGTTAGGTTAGGTGTGCAAGATGTCTTCACCGGCCGCCGAACTCGATCCGACAACCGGGGGCTGGCTCCAGGCGGTGGCTTTCCTAACTGACCGGTCCTCGCTCGCTACAAAAGAAAGAGGCGAGGGGAGGCTGGGGCAGCACTTCGCACGCAAGCAAGCCTCCACGCCGGCGCTCGGCGGCGGCTCCTCAGCCCCCGGGGCGGCGGGCGGTAGCGAGCTCCGCGGCTCCCGCTGCGCGGCCGGCTGCAGGCCGAGGGTCCGGGCGCTTTGCCGGGGGGGCGGGGGGGAGAAGGAGAAGGCAGAGAACCGGAGGAGGCGAGGGAAAGGCTTGTGAAGGGGGCGGGGGGGCGGCGCGGCAGGGAGGAATACCCACACGTGCTGGCAGTTCGCGGTCCTCACGGGCGTCTTGAACACCTCCTGGCAGACGGGACAGTAAAAATCATCCTCGCTGAAGCACGCCGCCGCCGCCGCGGCTCCCTCGGCCATGGCAACACGTCAGGGCCTCTCCGAGAGGATCGGGGACGAGAAACAAGCCCCGCCCTGGCGAGCTGAGCCGAGCTGATCGGAGCTCCCCTCCGCTGCCGCGGGGGGCCGCCGGGCAGCCGCGGGACACGGCGCGGGGCGGTGGGCGCCGGGGGTCCGGGAGAAGATGGCGGGCGGGCACCTGGCACCAGGTGGG